TGATGATGATGACTACTGTCCTCTTCCTTTTATCCTCCAGGTGCGCGGGGCTCCGGCCATCGCCATCGTTGGCTGTCTCAGCTTGGCCGTGGAGCTGCGGGCAGGCGCCGGAGGTGACGACCCTGTGACCTTCATCAGGGAGTCTCTGTGTCACCTGACCTCAGCGAGGCCCACCGCCGTCAACATGGGCCGCGCCGCCCGCGAGCTGATGGAGTTTGCAGAGAATGAGAGTATGGAGAAGAACTCTGAGCAGCTCAGAGAAAGGTAGACAGCAATTTGCGGTTTGTTGGTTATGTTTGATATGTTTTGTAAAATCAATGGAGTCACATTTAATTAATCGGATAACAGACAGTATTCTTCTTCGGGTCCTGCACGTCTGTTACTCCGGGACCTGTAGGCCACCTTACACTGATCAATCCCAACCAAAATCTTTGGCTGGTTTCTCAACTTCTAATCTACCTTAAAAAAACCTCTCTGTGGAGTAATTGATACATTTCTGCTGTTATGATCAGCGATTCACATGCATGCTGCTGATCCACATTTTTGATGATAGTTTCACATTACTTCCTGGTCTACTGATGGTGGTTTGGGGTCAGAAAACGCAGCAGTGTGCCAGTAAAGATGAGCAGGATGAAGTGCACAACAGGAGTGGGGGATGATGTCTGTATAGCAGTATATACCGGTACTGCATTGTTTCTTTGAAGGTTTGCAGGGGCTCTTAAGGAGTTCCCTCTCTCTTTGAGGTGTTGGACCAATGGGCAGTGATCTCGTGGGTTGCTGGTGGTTAGAGTGATTTTAAATTAATTGTATTTTTTAAAGCATGTTTTCTTCGCTAATGCATTAAAGCAGCACTGTTATTATTATTCCCTTTGATGTCAGAGTCTCCACATGTGGCTGACATATGAGATGCACATACCTTCTGTGCTATTTAAAATGAATGTGAGGAGCAGCTACAGTGAAACGTCGGGCGGTGTTTGTCTGTTGACTTTGCGTGTTTGATTTTTAAATTAGAACTTAATGTAAACACGTTTGCAGAGACTCTCGCTCGTCTCATCTCCTGAACTTTTTGTTTCACGGTGTGTGCATTTGCGAGTAAAAGACAAGTGGAGGACACTCATGGGAGCTTTTTTACACTCAAAAACGGACTAAAAAAACTGGTTGAACCAAAAAAAAAAAAATGTAAATAATCAGGTGAATCTTCTCAGTATCTGTTCAGCTGATGTAAATCCACTTTTAGTCCCTAATTACAGCTGGATAGATCATTCTTCATTGTTTACGCAAACGGCTCTCACGCCGGCCTTTGTCTTCATGCTTTAAGTGAAAAATAAACTCACAGGGTTTCTGTCTTACCAGCACTGGTAGCTCACTTCTGGATTTTTTTGGATCACAGTGTTTGCATTATGGAGGTGGATTAACAAGTTAACCATGTCCCTGTTAGCCACACACAGAAGCACAAAAATGCTATGGAAAAAAAGACATTCCAGCCTTTTCCCTTTTTAAGGATATTTGTTTTAATTGTATCTTGGACATCTTGCTTGGATTGTATTACAGAATCAATGGATTGTGTTAATATTATTCTTGTCTGCAACATACCGTGATCGTATCGTGAGTTCTGGTACTTCCCTTGGACTGGTGTTATGTCATGCGAGAGATTACTCCGTTCCCCGGCATTGGCCACGTGATGGACAATCAGTTAGATAGTCGATGACTGACAGATGTTCTAGATCTTCTACAGGCTTATAAAGAGTTCACCTGATCGGAGAAACGCTTTGTGTGGTCTGGTTTATGATTTCACACCCAAATCAACATGGCAGCTTAACTGAAAACTTTCTCATAATGGACAAATGTATTTTTTGAAATCATTTGGTATCACAAATACTCCATGCAGTTGTTGAAGTTATCTTTATTTGAGATGGACATTGACTAGTTTTACAGATTTTCAGTAGTTTCCACCAGACCGGTTTGGGGTTTGTGGCCTGCTGTTAGGCACACAGTGAGAGCTTGGTTCATGTTGTTCACAGTAAGTCGGTCTTGGTTCGAGTTGGACACTGCTAGAGGTGCCATTTAACTTTTATGGAGAGAATTTTCATTCTTGTGGGTCTTCTGCTTTCATTAAATGATGACCTCCAGCTTACACTGGGGCATTTTCCAGCTGAGAGTGACAAGCAAAGAATGAGAATTGGCACCGCCAAACCCTAAAAAAGGTGGAGTGCTGTCTTCGGGTTTGGGAAAAGTTGCAGAAAATGGATTGATGGATGTGTCTGTGTAGGCTTTCATGACATACAGTGGATTCCTGAATCCCAGGTATTTTGAACTCGCACCCACACCTCGCCTTATGTGACCTCAATAGCTCGCACAATGGCGGGGTGGGGCAATATCTCAGAGGTTTTAGTCGTCGGCCACGGTGATGGTAATTACCCAAACCACCTTGGCTCATGCAATGACTCGTGTGACCAAGATTGGGTTAACGGCTCTTAGAAACGCCTCCAAACAGGACAGACCCCACTAGGGGTTTATGACCTGGGACTCTCTGAAAGTTACGCCTCTTATCCAAGATGTTTCTTCAGTTCTAAAACGTCTTCAACAAAACAAAGACAAAAAAACTCCTAAAGACATCCAGTTACCTTCTTTCCAACATTTGAGGTGGGAAATAAGCCACGTGGTCTTTGGGTCCTAACAATGATTCAAAGATTTGCAGATTTCCTTGTTTTGCATAAAGTAGTGGGTAACTTGCTGGAAATGCAGAGCTATGTGGACACATGCCTTCACTCTGTGATTTGCACATCTGCTAAAGAATGGTTCAAACTGTGAATAGCTGGCTTTGTAAAAGTTTCATCAGGAACAAAAAAACATTTGCATTTTAAAAACGTTCATTTATCTAAAGGATTCACAGACTTTATGCTGTTGAATGCAGAAGCAAAATTGCCAACTGATATTGACAGATATTAATATTTGGCGATATCTGACATCAGGTGAGATTTTCTTAATTCAGACATGCGTAACAAACACACTTCACTTTTTTTATGTGTACTTATTTATATATCGGTGCTGTTCAGCAATAATCTTTTTTTGCCACAGCAAATCATGAATTACTCGTTTACACTCAGCCCCACTGCTCGGATCAAAGAGTTTCCTCTGGTAGATAAACTATGCAGCATCAATGCTCATAACATGATTGAATGGCGTTTTTCCTGTCTGTTCTTTACTTTTTCCATTTTCATTTATTGGCCATCATAAACGTCGATACGAGCATATCCGCAAATAGTAGGGCTGTTCGATATAACGATATATGTCGGATGACGATATAAAAACGTCTATCGTTTCATTTTACGCTATCGTTTGTTTCGTGGTGTCGCAAAATAAACTGTTCACGGCAATATTTTTTATATCGTTTTGATGGTCACTGTAGTGGCTATATTAATTTCTTAAAGTTCTCTCTTTCTCTTACATTTAATATAACCACACTACAGACGGACAAGCACCTGTTTTTATGGGTTGTCGTTAGCAACAACGACGGTAACATCATCGCATGTCCGCTTGTTTATTTTCCACATAAAACTTTCACAATAAAGCTCAAGATCCTGTTGAGAATTTTCAAAATAAATGGAATCACGTGAAAAAGTATGCCGAGTATTGACGGATGAGAAGCAAAAAAAAAAAAAGAGTCGTCAGGTGCTAAAAAATAAACTTTAGACTCAAACATTAGAACAGGCTTTCCCCGCAGCACGCCGTGTAATAAATACTCACAAAGAAAACGGCGGCGTTATAAGCTATGTCTAAAAATGTATCGTTTCATGCATCGGTTAAAACACTCGACTCCAGGTACATGACGCCCAGCTGGAAACACTTCACCTACCTGAGATTCACAGAATTTACAGAAAATATTAAATTTTTTGTGATTTATATCGTTATCGGACGATAGATGTTTTATATCGGGATATGAGATTTAGGTCATATTGCACAGCCCTAGCAAATAGTTTTCTCTTTTACCTCAGAAGGGTTAAATGAGAATACAAAAAATAAATGAAAAAGTAAAGCTAGTGTCAGCCACACCGATATATCGGTCAGGCTCCACTGTCAGCTTTTCAGTTGTTTGCTCTGTATGAACTTGTTCTGTTACATGAAATCATCTCGGCTCTTCAGTTTTCCTCCTGAATGGTGTCTCCCGAGTTAGTTGCTGCTGTAACACTTCCTCATTTAACACCAGCTGCAGGTGTCTTGCTGAAGAAGTTGCAGAAGCTATCGGATCAGTTGTGAAGTGAAAATTGGAAAGCATCAATAGTATACATTTTTGCAGCTTATTAGTGTTAAAACCCAATTATCGAGTGGTAATTTTTACAGGGTTCACTTGTTAAATAGTGATTGAATAGCAATTTGATTCGTTTTTATTTTCAGATAAGTGGAAAAGAACACGTGTGAAAGACATTGGTGTTTCTTGGTGACGGAAAACGTTCAGTCTAGGTGGATGATGTCTGTCAGAGGCAGATGATGCAGCTTGTTTTTGACAGAAGGGAGTGATCTACTTTACAGTAATCCCGGCCTCAAGGCAGCGATTCACTTAAATTTTATGCAGAAAGCTACGTAGAGTTAAAAGAAGACAATCCTGGTGCCAAAGCATGAATCGATATTTACTGCAGTTGCACCAATACATGCATTTCATGGTAACTGTTCCAGTTAAGAAGCAAGTGTTTCAGTTCATCAGTCACTGGCCTCTATGCTTATCATTGATTGAATGTTTTCCTGACTTTCGTGTCAGTGGGCTGAACATAAGGGGGCCCTCGTCTTCGTCACTGTTTTTTGGTCAGGGATCAAAGTAACGACATGTCAGTCGTTAGCATCCACTCAAAGGAATTTGTTGAAAACAGGCACTTTTTTAACAGGTATTTTAATTGACCTTTAAGCTGGTATTGTGCAGCACGCTCGTTATAATTTGCTTTCAAGGAGTCAAAAGGTCTCTTTGGACGTTGGCTGCTTTTTCACTCTTTTTGCACTTTTTACCTGAACATTTTCGGAGGTTTGTTCGTTAAGCCACTTGGAACACTGACTTACGAGTCATTCGAGCCCTGTCCAAACAAAGTGTCCGTTTAAAGACTGAGGAAACTGAAAAGGTGACTAGCTCCCTTCCCACGTGTGAAATAAATATGTTAGATTTCCATTACAAAGCAGTGAGTCACATTGCTTGGGGTGACTGTAGCTCAGAGACCTGGTCAGGTAGAGCAGGTCACCCACTAATGGAGAGGATAGTAGTTTGATCCCTGCATGCCACATATCCTTAGGCAAGGTACTAACCCCAAGTTACTCTCTGAGTGTGAATGTTAGATACAAAGCACTTAAGCATAGAAAAGTGATTGTGTGACTGGGTGAATGAGGCGTATTTGTTTAAAGTGTACAGTAGAAAAGCTCTATATAAGAACCCGTCCATTCATCTGAGAATAAGTTGGGCTAAAGAGAAACACTGTAGTGGTGGAGTGAAAGACCTTGCAGGTAACCATGGAAGATTTATGTTACTTTAAACTTGGTGTGGTTTGAATTGTGGGCCAGTCTCCAAAAAAAACTTGTGCAAGTGTTTACTTGATAATGCGTGTCTGCAAGGTAGGAATCGAGACTGTGCAGCAAGAATAATGTAAGAAAGTGAGAGAAAATGAGGGAGATGTGGCACAGCTATGGCAGAAAAAGAGAAGGAACAGCATGAAGAAAAAGATTGTGTATGAGAAAAGCGGAGAAAGCAAAGTCATGACAAACAGAAACACAAAGCCGTATTGCTCCTGCAGATATGATGGACACATTGAGCCCACAGTGGCAGACATATATCCTCTTCTCAATTCCCACCTCTTGTGGCCCCCCTCCTGCAGTGTAATTGCCTGGATCGAAGACATGCTGGAGCGTGACGTCAATGACAACAGGAAGATCGGTAACTATGGAGCTCAGCACATCCTTTCTGGCGTCCCCAGGGACTCGGTGACCATCCTCACACACTGCAACACCGGCTCGCTGGCCACAGCTGGATACGGGACGGCGCTGGGTGAGACTGGAGCGCTGGCTCTGAATGAGAAAAGAAGGTGGTTGTTGAAATATTTAGAGCACTGTAACTGATACGAGTCTGTGTGTAGGCGTGGTGAGAAGCCTCCACGCGCTGGGCAGGCTGAAGCGCGTGTACTGCACAGAGACGAGGCCGTACAACCAGGGGTCCAGACTGACGGCGTACGAGGCTGTAGCGGAGGGAATCCCTGCCACGCTTATAACGGACAGCATGGCAGCTCTCACCATGAGGGAGATGGACATCACAGGTGTGTGTTTGTGTCCCATCACGTCTCCTTCACTTCACTAAAACCTCTTTTCTTAAGACTTCCTTTCTGCTGTTTTCTCCCTCAGCTGTGGTGGTGGGTGCAGACAGGGTGGTTGCTAACGGTGACACAGCCAACAAGGTCGGCACGTACCAGCTGGCCATCGCCGCTAAGCACCATGGGATACCTTTCTATGTGGCGGCACCCAGCACGTCGTGTGACCTGAGTCTGGAGAGCGGGAGGGACATCATTATTGAAGTGCGCCCCCCCGAGGAACTCACTTCTATAAACGGGGTTCCCATCGCTGCCCCAGGTAAGGCGTGAGGGATGTCTGTGCAGAGAGAGCACTTAAATAAGCGCGAGCTCGGTAGAGTATCGACAGGAAAGCATCAAGGTTGGAGAGGAGATGAGCTTGGCCCAGTTCCAAAGTCAGCCCAGAGGCTTAAGCACCGAACACACTCAGAGTTAAATTGGCATCACATGAAACGTAAGTGCCAGAGTGAAGGAGGCTGTTAGCTCATATGTCCTGCACAGAGGCGCCCTGTGGCCACTAATGTGCACACAAAGTTCTCCTGTCATCGTCCTTTTTATTTTCTCGCCGGGTTTTCTTTCTTGAACTTTCTTGCAGGCCATTTATGCGTCTTTAGTAGTCAGTGGCATGATAGAGATAAGAGAACAGAGTCATTTTCACACATGCACCACCGCCCACAGAGGTGTACGTGACACCGCAAATGTCAGACGCATTCAGGTGGGACTTTAACTGGTTTTTAACCTCTCAGCTCTCCAGTACAAAGTCTGTGTGATGTCATGTGCTGCTGAACAAATTATGGCGCTAACAGTCCGGCGCATTCAGCGCTAGTGAGTGGGTGTCATGTGTCTAGCTGCCTCTACATGGGGAGCTCCTTTCAGCTGAACCGCATGCATCTGAAGCAGACTGTTTACTGCTCTGCGCTGCATTACAGAAAGAACAACTGTGCAAAGCTGGCCAAAGTTCATGTGTGGAAATGGCCTGTGCTTGGACAGAAACACAGTGGAAATGTGTGAGGGCAAACTAAAGCCTGGATTATCAGTAAATATATTAATGCTATGCACTTTGGAGTGCTCAGAGCAGCCCTACTGAGCTCAAGTGCCCATATACCTTACGGCTGAAGCCCAGGTTTGAGTCCGACTTGCAGCCCTTTGGACCTGAGTCTGAGTCTGTCGGATCAAACCTTGAAAATGTATTTTAGTTGAGTTTGTGAGAGCTTAGTTGAGTCATTTAATCTCTAGGTACCCAGTGACATCACAGTAATTGTGCTGAATTAATGAGTACACAGGCCCGCGGGGACGAGGATGTGTGCTTGCACATTCGTTTTTTCCACTCTTTAACTTTCCCCACAGACTTTAATAATTATGAATTAACCTTTAGTTAAGGTTTTGGTGTACTAGAACCACACTGTTGCAGTCGTTAAACATTCCTTTACCACAGTAAAGAAATGCGTAACGAGCAGTGCGGGGTGTAGTCCTGCTGCTGTTTGAAGGAATAATAAACCCGAGACAGAAAGCAGGTTCAACAAACTCTGAGTCTAACTGTGGGAGACTCTGAATATCCAGAAAGGCTGATCAGACTTAGTTAAATCAACTCTGAGTATGTTCACCCTTATTGTAGCGCGATTAGGGAAAGAAAGCTATTATAAGTGGAGCTCCGATACTATGATTTACCCCGGCGACAGGTAAATATAGAGCACAGCCTCCATTTTAATCCAGTGTACTGAGAAATATGAACACGTTTCACTTAAAACCATGATGTTTCGTTTAAAAACGAGAGGGCAGTCCACTCAGCGTCCACTCAGTCATCGCTTACCCACTTTCAGTTTGTATTAACAGGAAAAGACGGAAAACCTAACAAAAACGTACATTTTTAAAATGATTCTGCTTCTGACCGGGACAAAAATGCAGTAACAGCAACTGTAAATAAGAGTATGTTTTATTATGACCTACTTGTAGTTTTTGTACATAAGTAAGACTGATTCGGGTCTTTTCGAGTGGAAAAGATGTCAAACTTTAAGCTTTTTGGGCGTCTGTTTTGGTTGGCAGTATTTAATGATAATTTAATCCTAAGTGTGGAGACAGTGTTCGAAAACTCACATTAAGGCACATTATTTCAGACATAGTCTTAAAGTTATTCAAGCCTCTTTTTGACTCAGGAATCTTCACATCTTCAATATGACGAGACTGTTTTTCATCACAGCAACAGATTGCGACACATGATTATTCATATTGATGATAGATTTTTATTTTTTAAATCAATCTTCATCTTGTTGTTTAAATCAATGTTTAAACAACTGACAAGGAGCACGTTGGGCTCAGTGTCAGACCGTTCAACTGGGTTTTAATTCTCAATATTGTGTTCAGTACAGCTAGCTTACGCGTTAGTGCACTTGCATTATAATAACCTGTGAATTGTGTTGTGTGACTAACACCTCATTCCCGGACGCTTCCTGCAGGTATCGAAGTGTGGAACCCGGCCTTCGACGTGACCCCTCACCAGCTCATCACAGGGGGCATCATCACAGAGCTGGGAGTCTTCCTCCCCTCTGAGCTCCAGGCGGCGCTCACCGGCCGCCTCACTGCCCTCTAGAGCCACTCGGCTCCTCCTGCTGGTCCGTGCGCACCACTGCACGTTTACGTCACACTAAGAGACACTTTCTCATCATCACAGACGCCGCACAGTTGTATTTCTAATTGAATTTTGTTCAATACACAGTCACTGTTGCATTCAGTGGTGCACACAGGGGGAAAAAAAAATCTTGTTTGTCACTTTTCCACATACACAGCTACATAGAGTCTCACTGCAGGGAGTCGAGTAGCCACACACGTGCGGTCTCCCCTTTCTTTTAAATCCCTGTTCTGTCTTTACCTTTCACCTCCAAAGCTTTCCATTGCATCTGTCATTGTCTCTTTCAGCCTCTCTCTCTTTCCAAATGGCTTCTGTACCAATAAAAAAAAAAAGCTCAGCTGGACTCGAACCCAGAAATTCAATTTGGCAAACAAACCTATATGCGACCTTACGAAAGTCACATTGTAACAACTTAAAGAATAAAACGAAAGCCTAAATAGCACGACTGGTTCTTTAATTTGAAACAAGTCGTGGTTTCTAAAATGCTGCTACCTACTTGTAAATATATATATCCTTGCTGGTAGTGTGTACATATGTAGAAACTAACCCCCGCTCGTGAAACGCGCCGCTTTTTCATCCAAATAAGCGGTTATGTAAAAAATACATTTCGCATCTAAAAATGTTATATTAACATTTCATTTCTTTTGCTCAGTGTAGGAACTTTTTTGTAATAGACAAATTCACATTTTTAGCTCATAGTCTTAATATGGAAGAATTTTGTGTGTCAAAATAATTGAACGATCGGTCACGCTAGTCAGCTGAAGCCTTTAACGTCACATGGCTACTTTTATACCTCACTCCTTATTTGCGTTTTGCTCTTCCCAGTTATACTGTATCATACCACACATGTACTCTCGTAATAGACTTGTATAAACTGATCAGCCACAGCATTAAAACCACCTGCAGAAACGGGTCCAGATCGGTCTCTTTCTGATGCATCCCGCGGCCGCTCGATCAGATTTAGACCCGGGGAGTTTGGAGGCTGGTCAGCACTTTGGGCTGCCTGTCACCCTTCTCTGTAAGGAAGAATCATTAAAAAAAAATAGGAGTTAAAGGAGTAGTTTGCCTCAAAATTAAGGTTTAGTTGTTGGCTTGTGTGCACATCAGTCAAGACTTTAAAATAATTTTTCGATGTCAGCTTTCCTGCTTAGAAACGAATCTCTCTCCAGATGGTGCGTTTAACTACATCAGCCTCAACACACGAAAAGCTGCACAAAAAAAGGATTTTTACTCTCACACTTCCTGCTCTGTGTGCAGACGGACACAGCTGACAAGTAGAAGAAAGAGAGAGTTGCTTTGATTTGACTCCAAGCTAATGGTTAGGTTGCTCTGTGACCACAGTGTCATCATAACAAACCGCTTTGCTAACACATCCGCCTTGATGGCTTGTTTTAACATTGGGTTAAGCAGCCTAATGATTATATTCCAAACCATGTGAGTGAAATCTCCAGTGTTCAGTCCTTTGTTGCGTGTCATACACCCACATCTCTGCCTTTATGTCAAGCTGCTCTTAACTGCCAAATAAATACCAAAATACTCTTTTAATATCTCTGTTATTTTGTGTGTTGTTAGTTTGTTTTGCCACTAAAGTGTGGAAAACAAATCAATGCAGTTTTAAAGCCCTCCAGTATTGACATCGTGATGGCGTTTCAAAGTGTCAGAGACACAAAACTTAGTCTAAAGGTGAAGTCTTAGATTTCAGACTAACTAGTTGGGCCATACAAACCTGAGAGACTCACAAATTTAATGTGGGGGTGAGCAGGAGCTGACTGTCTCTTTTTGTGGGGGCATGAACTACTCCTTTATGATGGAGGGCATCTTCTGCGTTATGTACTTTTACGCCACCACCAATGAGAATGTAACATTTAAGTCGTATAAATGTTGTTTTCGTTTGGGGCCGGACGTCAGACACTCAGCCACTTCTTGCCTTTGCGCTCACCTTCGAATGTGTTTCGACCGCTTGGACTAATCCCTCCTCATAAACTCCCAGACATGCTCGCGACTCGCCGAAATCTGTGCCGCGAGCGACTGAAAGCAGGTCGATATCAAGAAGTACACAAAGGTTTTGTTTTTTTTTCTCAGAAGTTATTGTTTGACATTTCTGGCCCCTGAGTTTCTTTTCTCTATCCTGATGAAAGAACTGGACTATAAAGGAAAAATGAATTTCATAATGGTAGGAAATGCCAAACTCGTCTAGTGCTGAAACTATTTGTACAGGAAAAGAATGAATATCCTAACAATATAGCAGTTGTTTAAAGGGAACCTATTATGCTTTTTTCCATATTTTTATTCTTGGGCTCTAGTAGAGTAGATTTGAATGATTCACAGTTAAAAATAGTTCTTGTTTATTTTATTTATCCTCCAGTTCATATGCCATCTGAAACACAAGCCATTTTAGCTCCTGTCCATGGAAGACCTTTAAGAAATCCCTTTATGAGCATCCAGCATTGTAACAATATGTGTGCATTTATAACAGAAAATAAAGCATTTTCACACAAAATACTAGTTGAAATTTTACACCCAATATTTGGACCGTCCTTCAAGTTAGTTGCCAACTTACTAACTGATAAATCCAGCATCGTTAGGCAGACTGATTGATGCAAGCCTGTGTTTGAGGTCTTGTATCGTGATTTGAATGCACTGAATTTTTGCCACCTGGCCTGCGAGCTTACGGTGCATTTGTCGTTGTGAGATGCTTCGTAGAAACATCCCAGACGTCTCTTATCTGCGTGCTGACACCTAATCATTTACCCAAAGTCACCAGGTCCACACTGTTTGCTGCCTTACAGGTGCAGCCTGATTGTAGCTTACTGATGTAAGGCAGTAGTCTCCTCGCTCCGTCCTTCAACAGAGTTCATATCGTGTTGCCAGAGTGCTTAAAGGCTGAGGCAGGCAGTAATATTTTTTTGTGGTTATTAGACAAAAAATCCTTTAATAACCTTTCAGCATATTGTAATTCAAGTGCTCTCAGAGGAAACCAGACCTCTGAACCATCTCTTCACTCTGTTTTCAGGCTTTATTAGATCTAGCCTACGTCTTTGTTCAATCACAGGCCTAATGGCTCCTCTGCAGATGTGCAGAGGAGTCCTTTGCACATACTTCAGATTGTGAAAAGTAGCAGAAATTCCTGAAGGAAAATATGATTTTCAAAATTCACAGCTTGCACTGCGTCGCAGTCTGGTTTTTTGTTTTGTGGTTTTCCTTGTATATTACCTGAAACTTGGCCTTTACTGCATTTACTGACTCGATTAGAGAGATGTCAGAGGTCTGGCCACAGGCACCACCACCTCACACATTGACTGTCTACTACACAACTTCTCTACTCTACAGGACCACAGGGAGGTTCTGAGAAAACATCATTTTAAAAAAACAAAACAAAAAGCTTAACATCGATAATTACGACAGTGTCTATTGTCTATATCTTAAGATATGCTGTAATGTAAGCTCATTCCTTCACTTTCTTCCTCATCAATCATCACCTCTCTCACCCATCAAACCTCAACTCACAAAGATGCTGGTAGGTCACACGCAAGTGTTAAAAAATTTCTTTCGTTTTGTAAAGTTAAAGACTTCATGCTTTTTTTGGGGGAGGGGGGGATTTTAGACAATTTTCCTGACATATGTAGCAATTTTATGGCCCGTTAGATGCGCCGCCTGTCATTTCTGTTTAAGAGGTACAAGATTTTTGTTTGTCTGTAGGTCATGATTATAACTGTTCTGCTGTGGTTTGTTGGTTTATTTCATGATTTCATTGTGATTCCTAGTGACTAGGCCATTAGAGCACCACACTGGGGAGGCCTCCTCAACCATACGCACTACCTCTCCGTCTGCCTGCACGGACTCGAACACTGAAATGCATGAACACAAGCACTTAATGCGCCAGCCTGCAGCAGAGCAGATTGACAAGGTTGATGAAAAGAAATATGGGTTACAATTTTCACTCGTTTGTATCTTGAACGCTAAGTGACAATTAATTTGTGGCGGTGCTTTTAGTTTGCCAAAGTAGCCTAGATTCAGGCTCGTCTGTTATTTTAGGTTGCAGTTGAATTACAATACCTTGCAGATGTCTCGAGTTCTCCCTCATTTCTTTATATTTCACTTCTAATAAGCCACATTTTCTTGTTGTTGTTTTTATTTTATTTTAAGTGGTCTTGAGTAATAGTTCTGTAGGCTTTGTAAAGGTCTTTCAAAGTTCTTCTTGGGACATTGGCTGCTACATAAAATAGTAAAATGGTATATTTGCCCCAGCAATGTGATTCCCGAATAGCTATTAGCCAAAAATTTTGCATATCTCAGCATGGAGTGCTCTGAGTTCTTAAAAAATTTGAGGAAAGTGGACAAAAGAAGAAAAGGCCGGTCTGTAGAAGTGTCTACAGCAGAAAGTGTTTTTTGTCTTATATACTTACATATTTGTTACCATGTTTTCATAAATTGGTGCAGTTATTTCCAATTTCTTAGCAAGATATAAAGAAATGAGGGGTGACTTTTGCACAGTACTGTATTTCTGTATTATGGATTAATGCTTTTTAAGCAGCAGCAATATAATGTCGTATTTTAAAAAGAGATAACGCAGTCCTCTCCTTCCAAAAAGGCCAAAACATGGATAATAATGAGGTGCCAAAATCCAGCGCCGCCTGTCTCGTACTTTCCAAGTTGATTCGATTAATCATAGCAGATGTGTATGCATTATAAAGCGATTGGTGCAGTCTGCATTTACCATGGAGGGAGTGTTGTTCAGATGGCCTCTTTAAGTGCAAGTATGTTGTTGTTGTTGTTGTTGTTGTTGATAATCACCTGGTTTGATTTTGTAACATGTGGAAAGTGTTCTGAACTGTTTTTTTCTTTTTCTTTTTCTTTTATATATTTACGTATATGAATATAATGCTGTAAAGTGCAGTCATAAATTAAGAGATTTCTCTTTCACATCAATAAAGGAAAGAAGTAAAACCACAGCAAAAATGCACAAGTAGAATTTGCCTTTTTGTCATTTATTGAGCAAAATTGTGAATACATGACAGATGACATAAAAAGTAACCAAGTCTTTGGCCTCAGAGGTGCCGATGAGCGGGCTACTATCACCTCACAACAAGGTTCCTGTTTTGAACATGTGTGGGTTTGATTTCTCTCTCCAGAGCATTTCATTCCCAAATACTTGGTCTTTGTCATATGTTCACTGGGAAACTGAGGCCTTTTTGTTAGCAGGCCTCCCATGCAGGTCAAATGTGTAACCAGTGGCTGCAGGATTTTTCTGCAGATTGTTCTGTGAAATTTGGCAGACTGGGGGACATGGGATAAAATTGCTGGGATGGCAGTCCTAGAGGGACAGGAGTTAACAATTCCACCTCACAGCAAGACGTCTATGTTCAAACTCAAGTTAACTTAAACGCTTCCTTCAAGTGTTTAAGTTAACTGGTGATTCTAAACCGTCTGTAGATGTGGACTGAACAGACTATGGCTCTCTTTTCTTTGTGTTAGCTGTGAGGGCCTGGCAACCTGTCCAGTATGTCCAGTATGTGACAAATGCTGTTCAACCAGCATTTGTCACAAGGCAGGCACTGTGGTTGTGTTGGTCCCTTCTGCCACAACAAAGAAATCATCAACAAAACACAAATATCCTTCGTTTTTGTGCTAGGTTTATTTTTTAAATCTCTTGCCAGGCTCAGTGAGCATCCACTACCGTTTATGGCTTCAAGGACTCTTTTGAACTTGGAATAGCGATAGCAGATGTCAGAGGTGTGAAATAAGACTGGTTCCACCTGTCCCTAAAGTACTGGACCTTTAAAAAGGATAACAATGCTAATGACACAAAACCATTAAGGAGTGATTTAAAAAGAAGAAATGGTTGGTCATGGAATCGCTTAAATAAGGTAAGCACAAATGGCCACATATTTTCTAAAAGCTGAATTAAAGCGTTGTTAAAGGTTACAATGAAAATATCACATTATTACATAGAAATCCACCTGAATCAAGGTTTAAGTTGCTCTACAGCTTTGTCACTGCGAGCCGGACAGCACAGACTGTGCAGTCATTTGCAAAATGCAGCAAAAGACTCATCGCCCCGAAATGCAGAACTGATCGCCACAGTAAATCCTTTGTACCGGTGGCAATAAGACTGTACAGCTCTTCCTCACTCTGTAGGTGATTTTCCTAAGACTAATACCAATGTTATTCTGTTCCTTTTCAGACCGTGCAATATCACCCAACAGTACCTTATTGAATATTTGTTTCATCTCCCCATCATACGCTGCTACTCCCTTTATTCAATTGCACAATGTCACCTTCTAGAATCGCCTGCACTGATAGTTAAGTTATTTATTCTCCAGGATATAGTTATATTGTTACTTTGTTAGAGTTATTTGATACTATATTTTGCACTATCCTACTGTATAATACTGTATACTGCTATTCTTATTGTATATCTTATTCATCTGTTCCTCTGTCTCTCCTGCTGCTTTGAGCATATCATATGACAAAAGAATTTCCCTCGGGATAAACAAAGTTATACTTATCTTATTTGCAAGAAGATACTTGAATATCAAGTAAATTAAGTTTAAAAGGGACAAAGTAGGTTTAGACTTAAGTTTATGAAAGTGTTCGTGTGGTTCTAATGCAGCGCTGAACTTCATTTCCAAGGCTGTACTAAACAGCTGTAAGCTGATTAACCAGCAGGTGGCGCTAATGACAAAAAGAAGGCTATAAAGCACCTTTTTATGCAAAGAAGAAAAAACGGAAGGAAGCAAAAATGGCTCAGGGTTCGCAGAAGTTTAAAGCTCAGCGTCCAGGATCCAAAAAACAACAACAGAGCAAACAGAAAGGCCCGAAGAAAGGAGGTATGGCTCTGATTTCTTTCCCTTATGAAGCCCGATGATTAAAAATATTAACAATAACGTGTGAAGTATTTTTAGTCGGTCAGCAGCTCCACCATGTGACCCGCCTGTAAACAGCTGAGCACGTTTCAGATTATTTACCTCAAACATGTGGACAGTCTGTCCAGCACGAATATTTAAACAGCAATGAAACCAGTAACCCACTAAAGCCTTTCAAAAGCACACAAAAATAAATAAGTACAAATAAAAAAAATAAGGGGGTCGAGAGTAAAACAGAAACATCAAATTAGCTTCATGCCTTTGTAAGCAAGCTAGTGACAGATGGATACGGTATTGATGCCACAAGGGAAATGATTGTGTTACAGCAGCAGAATAAAGAATAGAAATAGTACAGTCTACAATAAATAAACAGCATAGTTAAAATGCCACAGGTGCAAAGTACACAGTGCAAGTACTGATATATAGAACAGTGAAAAAAGAGAGTAGTGCACATCACATTAACATATCTATCTCGATAGATAGATATCGATAGATAGATATCGATAGATAGATATACGCACGCACACACATATATATTTATATACATATATATAAAAGAAACGGCTGCAGGAAGGCATAACTCGGAAATATGTGTGTCTTAAGGAGTATTTAGTTGTCACAGAAACTCAGAACTGATGAACTTGTGCAGAAAGGCGGGACAAGTTTGGATGTGATCCAATCAGAATTAATATTGTTAAAAAAAGTCTCCCAAGTTTCCTGTTTTTTTATGAAAATGTGACAAAATGTCAGCACTTGGGAGCGAGAGAAGTGTAAACTTACAGACTTAAATTTCATATCAAGGAAAACTGTAAGCCATGAGGAGCAACTTGAAGTGAACTTTCTGAGGGATGCTTAAGCTGTTTTCTGACGTGTCTTTATTAAAGTCTTAACTAATACATAATGAACATTTTAAAATATGACCTCAATTAGAGTCACAAATGAAGATAAAACACAGTATGCTGTAAGCTTGCCAGTCCTTTGAATGACACGTGAGTGAACACATGTCACAAATGATTTCAAAAGATGGTGATAACAAACATTCAGCTCAAAATTCACTAAATTCATTAACTGCTGTGATGTCATGGTGGCTACATCCATCTTTCATATACAGACTGTAGTTTTTGCAGGGTATACCAAAAAGCGCTTGAGCTCCATCTGATGGACAAACCTTCAGAGTATCTGAAAAAGGAAAGTTGATGTTTGTGACACTTTCTGTTATAAAGGGAGGATCATAGCACCGAAGAAGGCTCAAGTGGTTCAGCAGCAGAAGCTGAAGAAGGTGAAGAGGACAAGTGACAGGAAATCAGAGGAATTTAACAGTGAGTACAGGTCTGAGCTTGACCCGCTTTAACTTGTCTCCAACTCCTCTGCTGAAGGGTCTAGAGGTTGCCATCAGGAACAAGATTGAGCAGGAGGTGACCCAGAAGGCCAGCTCCTCCCTCCACAAGCCGCTGAGTGTGATTAAAACTCCCGAGGCTAAAGGAAACCCTGGAGCAGCCCGTCCTGGAACCAGCTCCAAATAAAACCAGCTCGCTCGAGACCTGAGTCTTCTGGTTTTATATTACAAATTGATTAAAATGAAGTTTGAATGGGTTGCAATTAATATCAAATGTTACATGTCCTGTTTTGTTTTGTTTTTTTGACTGCAAGCTGACTTCCATGTTTTTAAGAAATTAATCCAAAACATTTAGCGATTACACTCACTGGACAGGTTACATCAGGCTGTCACAGGATTTTATCTTTTCCTGCAAAGATAAAATCGACAAAGGAGACAGATTTTTGGTATTCTGTCAGATTATTCTGTAGTTATCACTGTACAGAAAAATTGTATTGTAAAATGTATAAATGGGCTTTATTTGTTTAATTTGTTTAATCTTTTGTGTTGATAGTGTTTTGTCAGCTTGCTTTATAAAACTAAAGATGATCAGTTCACTGTCTCTCTCTAATCTGTTGTGAGAATGTTTACACACTGCACTGTCAATAACTATGAAGCTATATATATATATATATA